ATTTCATGTCTAATAAGATCTGAATATTGTACTACAGCTACATGAGTTTGCTGCGGAGAAACATCAAATAACTCGACGAAATCTTTCACAAAACGGAGCACCTACAAGCAAAATTAATTTAAAATTCTTGTGGTACACGGAAACTGTAACATATTTTTTCATTTCGTATTATTTCAATTCTTCGTAACTAATACAATTAATATAGCCAAAATCTTTAAGTACAGCGATAACTGTTTCACAATGGTTTCAACTAAATTTTAAAACTTAAGTAAACTTTAGGACCTCTTTATGAAAGATATCATAACCAATCGAACCACTTCCATCGATTAGAAAAACAAGATCTGTTGATTGCGCTGGGCTTAAACCATACTATTAATATTAATTGTCACAAAATAAATTTCTGGAAAATCGGCAATCAGAATTCAAAATGTCCTGGAGATATTCGGTATTGAGAGAATTACGAGAATTCATCTTTATTTTCTTATTAAGTATGGAGTTCTTAACAACTAATATCCATGTGAATAAAAGTAAGAAAAATTATTAAATCTATAATATTCTTGTAATATTTTTCGTTGCTGTGAAGTAGAAAATGATTTTTTTGATGATTTTTGATGATATGCCTCGCATATTCACTGTAAGCTAAACATGTGAGATGACGTAACAGTTGCATAGATTATAGCTTAAAAACAATAATAAGCTTTTTGCTTACCACTGAGTTTGCAGGGTGCATACACGTCCGGGTGGTAGCTTAGCATTACTGGAAACGTCAAAATATCCGGTAGCACAAATGCAAGTATAGCCGTCGGGTAATGTTACACAGTCCGCATTTTCATCGCATGAATTCGCTAATCGATTAGCGCATTGATTCATGGCTACAATTATTTTAATTAAAATAAATAAACGACTTGGATTGAATTATGCTATAATTAAATTATACTATGTATAATCCAATTATAAAATTAATGTGCACGACAAACATTGAGCACAGCGTCGTCCAGGTTTTAAATCATAGCGTGAGGAAACATCCTTAAATCCGGCATTACACTGACACAGGTATGATTCCAACGTATCGACACATGTAGCGTATGGTGAACAATCGTGTTTATTTGTACCACACTCATTAATTACTGGAAATGTTACTTTATTGTTATTTAATTATTGATAAAATTTTAATTTGTTCAATTTTTCTAATTCGTTATTAATTTTTGTTTCATTAGTACTAACAAAAAACATGAACTTTTCCTGTAACTTTAGTTTTGTTAACATAATAGCTCCTGTGCTTATGCAAATTAATGAAATTTACGTTGAGTGCATTTCCTTCCTGGTAAGCGTAAAGGATCAGGTGATGTATCTAAGAATCCTGGCGGACATTGACATTCATATCCATCATATGTGTTCGAACAGATCGCAACCAAATCGCAATCATTATGTTTTTTGCAGCGATTGAATGCTTCAAAGACGAAAAAGTATTAGTTAAGTTGCAGAGAATCTTTCGTCTTAATTGCATAAAATCTCTAGAAATCTCACAGAGCATTAAGAATGATGGGAAAATTGAAATGAAGATATGTTAGAAATATTTCAAGATTTATTCAAAATTCCCCTTTCATTTCTTTAGCATATTGAATGGACATTAGAACTTACTTATGCATTGTCCATTAGAAGTTAAAATACTAGATGGTGAACATTGACATGAATGCATGCCTTGACTATTCCTTGAACATACTCGATCCATTGAACAAGTTGGTTTTAATATTGGATGACATCGAAATTGCTGGATTATTATTGAGATATCAAAAAGGATAAAATAAATGTCAAATTTTTTTTAACATTCTATTTAAAAGATTTATACCTGATTAGAATGTCAAAATGATTAAACTTCCCAAAATTTTCCATTAATTTTCTGTTATTGCAAGCTAAGTTACTTTTCAAAAGCATCTAAACTATAATTTGTGAGAAAACAATAACGCCAAACCATTTGTTGGAGTTTGGCTTCATTGACATATTGGGAACCTTTCGGCGCAATACACTGACGGCCTGGATAGTGGGCAATATTTGGACTTGCATCCACAAATCCTTCTTTGCATTTGCAAATATATCTAAAATAGCATTCAACAT